AATTATTGAAAATTGCTAAGTTGAAGATTGTTAAAAAAAAATTTTCAATTTATACCGCATTAATAGGAAAATTAATTTTTCATAATAATTTATTTTAAAGGAAGAAGATAAAATATGGCTCATGTTGGCAAAAAAAAAGAGCAACTTTTATATATGTGTAGAATAACTTTTAAAACTGTTTTTATATGAGATTTGAAATTGTATTTAATGATTTTGAAAACTTGTCACCTATTTAGAATTGTTAGATAAACAAAATTCATCACCATATAGAAATATTTTTAACAATTTAGTCTACATACACAAAACATATATATATATTAGGAAATATTTTCTTTATTTTCTGATCAAAAATAATAGAATTCAAATATACAGAGCATATCTTACCATTATAAACGTAATAACATATGACATTATGGACTGAAATATACTTAGAAAAATGACATAAAAACAAAAGAAAATAACATATGAAGGAAAAAGGAATAGAAACCAATAAAATTAAATTCAAAGCATCAAATTAAAAGAAGAGATAACACCTAAAAAAACAAATCTACTCTCAAAACCTCATGTATTTTGGTTTTTGTTGGATGTTGGGTCTCTCATGTTGAAATTTGAGATTGGTTTGAGATTTGAAATTTGATCTTTATTTTTTACTATAAATTATTTGGAAAAGATAAAATGTTGGAAAATATCTCTTTATTCAACAATATCCTTAAATTATTTTATCAGCAAATAATTTTGATTTTATTTTATAATCTGATTTGAGGACTATTGTGGTTATTGTTCTCAAAAATCAAATAAACAAATTTATTGCACTCAAATTAAAAAATAAACTGAAAATGACATGTGTCAAAAGAGTAGAACGCCAAATGTCACATTCTTAGAGTTTGTTTTGAAGAAACCTTGTCATATTATATAAGATATCTGCATACCTTCTATGATATTGATTTTCTTGCTATTGGACGGTAAGTACACTTTCTTTCTTGAACATTAAACATATAGACACCATTTAGGTCATGGGGATTCCTTATTCCTTGTGATCAATGAACGTTTAGTTGATCTAAAGCTTACATGATCTAAACTAAAGGAGGCAACTAAAGGAAGCTGCACAATGATAAACAACTAAGACTTATGATCCTATTTAGTAGTGTAGAGATGATCTAAACTGCAGAAGCTTACCTGGTTATAATCACGACATCTCTGCAGCCAAAACAGAGGTTTAGATCCTTTTTCTTTAGGAGTGTCTTCGATTTGTGACAGGAACTTCTTCCTCTCGTCTTCTTTTGCATTAACAGGAACATTAATCCTCAACGCACTGATATTCGGTACATTTGGTGAACTCCATCTTCTTCTTGTACCAGCCTTTTTATCACCACTTTCAAGACTTCCTCTCTCGTCAATGTCTACCAAACAGTCAGGACTGTCACCATATCATCTAGTCTCTCTTCTGCCATTCATCCCACGTAGATCCTCAGCTACAGAACTCGTTGAGGAATCTCTCAAGTTGATGTTATCACTGTTTAAACTCTCTGATGTCTGAGAAGATCCAGATAGAAACATGGCAAGGTCATCACGCTCTTCTTTGTTAAGATTCACCCAACGCAAAGGTTGTTTCCCATTCTCGTTTAAAGCCTCTTGCAGAGAAGATTATACTCGATAAATCTGGTTTTCAATAGCGGCTACAAACTTTTTATGCAACAATGTATACATCAATCTCAAAAAGAAAACAAATACAAATAGAATGGGACAGTAAAACGCGCGATAACCGAGAACCAAACTTGGCTTAGAAATTATATGTACACGTGTCTAATGGCGATTAGTTGCAGCTGGACAGGTATTGCTTTGAAGAGCAAGGCACCTGAGCTATACCAAGAGACCTGACTGTATGAAAACCGCTACCGTGAGAACCAAGGAACCTGACCTAGAAGAAACCTACAGACCTGTGTTTTCCATGGCGGCACATACACTCCGGGACGGGATAAGCTATCACGTCACGATCTCTACGCCTTCTCGGTGACTCAAGATGGCCTTGGTACTTACGGTGAAGCTTCCGAGTTACAAAACTGAGCTCAGCATCCGAAACCGAAGAATTCTACAGTAAAGGAAGCATTGCTCTCTTATTAGGCATTATAAACTTCATGTGTCCTACATAAGCTCTGTTTTCCCTGAGAGAATAAACAGAGTTTAAGAAACAAACTTTGGAAAATCAAATCCATCAACGATAATCTCTACTATTTTGTTGTGCTACCTGCATAGCTTTTGCCATGTTACCACCATGAGAAGGAAGAAAAACGTCGCTGCTAAGTGATACGATGTAGTCAATAGCTGCTAAAGCTGAGGATCTATTGGTGTAAGGCAAGAGCTCGCCTTTATGAGCCAATGTCTCCTTTGTCACCAAATTAGAGAACTCTTTCGCTAGAGGCTCTAATGCTCGTGAGCCACCAAACAGCTCACCTCCTGCAATATATATCGATGCATTCCTAGATGCTCCCAAGGCCTTCAACAACCTTTAATCCCAAAAAAAAAGACTCGAGCTTTAAGTTTCCATCAAACCATGTATACAAATTGTCAAAATTCTGTTATCCATCAAAAGGATCTGCGTACAGAAGAGCCTGCAAGGAGGGAATGCATAAGCAGAATTCTTTGATAGTGGTGGACTGGTGGTAGATGTAACTTAATGTGTGGGAAAACTGAGAAGCTAGCAACTCTTTCAAAGCTAGTTATCCTGAAACTCATTTATTTCGAGAAAAAGGCTTACAAGTTCCTCTTCCTTCTGACGCTGTAAAACAGATCGCTGATGATGCCGTGAACGCAAAACATCATGTAACTTACTTAAATCGCTTCCAGAAATCACTTGTGCAAGCTCAATATCATTCTCTCTTTTGTTATATTTCTTTCCTCGTTCGTTCAACCTTGAGATTGATACTTTTCTTCCTTCGTATGTAGATTCCTTCTTTGCCACATCATAAAAGAACATAAATTTAGATCAAATCTTTCATGCTCGATAAACCTAAACACACATAAAAAAAAAAAAATGAAATCAGTCCGGAAATTGAATTTAATAGGACCTATAAATGCTTTGGCTTTAATATCAGATAAAATATGTGTGAATTGATCAAAAGCACTAAACCATAACGAACGCCTCATCATCATCAATTCCACACATGAATGAAACAAAAAATAACACCGAGATTAAAAACAATTAAGTAATGACCCCAACTAAATTTTATTGTATAAAGAGCTTGTTATTGCAAAGCTCGGCGTCCTATGAATAGAATCAACAAATAGATAAAACAAACTTAAAGGCAATTCATCAAACAGGAGATGAAATATAGTTTTTGAATAATTTTCACAATCTTAATGATCAAAGACAATAAACGTCTCTTGTTAACAATTCGGTCAAAACCATTTAACTATTGAAAGATAAAAAACGGAGACACACTACAAGAAATTCGTTTATTTATAGCATTGTGTTATAGCACGATTTACTGTAATGCTATCGTAAACAAGTTTGTAATTGAGTTATTATATCATAGCATGTGAATAACGCTATGAAAAAAATTTAGTAAGCGGGAATTTTTTTGGCTTAGTCCGCCAAACACTTAGCCAAAATTTTCACTAAACTAAGGGGCTGTTATTGGTTTATGATTTCAAAAGAGTTTTAGTGACTTAAAGAGTCATGTAGAATATGTTGTTATTCAATCAAGATTTTTTAAAAGTATGTTAAAGTTTTTTGTTATTCATTTAAGATTTGTAAAAATTAATCTAAAATTATCGTAAATTTGGGGTTATTAGATTCATACTCTTATAAAGTCAGTAAAAATTTTGTGTTATTCAATTAAAACAAAAGAATCTCTGATTGTTAATGAATTAAATTATTATGTTATTGGTTCATGACTTTGTACACTTTTCTTCACAAAATAAAGTCATACAAAGTCATGAAAAGTATTATCAAAATAGAGAGATTGTTTGAGAAACTTTACAAGATTATGAAAAACTAATCAACAAGATTATAAAAAACTCTCTATCAATAGTTTAGAATCTTTTATTTATTGACTTTGTAGGATTTGATTGAAGTCATCAAAATTCCTTGGAAATTAGGAACCAATAACACCCCCTAAAGTACCTTTACTCTTTTTTTTCCCTCTTTATCGAGACCCTAAGGGCATCTCCAATGCCTATTTCTATAATTTCCTCTATTTGAGAGAACTCTATTTTAGAGGAGTTTTGCTCCAATGAGGGAGTTTTCTCTTAGATGACCGA